ACCAGAAGGGCCTTTTCTTGCTCAGTAAGCCACATCAATTATCTGGGCATTGGATACAACCCTCCCCCCGTAACAAACTGCCTGCAACACAGATGGCAATCATGTCTGAACAGTATCAAAATCCCAAAGCTGAAAGGTAAAAAAAACCCCACAACACCCAAAGGCTTTGCTTTCTCTGCTTACTTCAATGGGAAATGAGTAAAACTAACCACTCCCTTCTGCAAATCCTCATCCTCCCAGCCTGTTCCACATCCTCCCTCTCACAGAAACTTGACTCGAGGCTAACAAGAGGTTTGTCCCAGACAGACCTTTTTCTTACTGTCTGCATCTTTATTCTGATGGATGGGATACAACAGCATCAAGTTCTAATCGTCCCTCTTAATACACACACGTGCTCCACGTGGACACCACAGCCAAATATTCAGAGCAGGTTACAGACAAGCAAGCTGGTTCATGCTGCATCTGCAAAGATCTGTCCGAACAGCAGCCCTTATGCTATCAGGCATAACTGGTTTGCAGGCCAAGGCAAGTCACTGCATGCATCGGCCCAGGCCATCCAACACCAGTATATGTTCACCAAACCTCAAGTCTGTTCCCAAAGTCCCCTAAGAACATTGAGCAAAATTCCTCCCGTTTCCTCTTCCCCTTACACTAGAGCAGTTTATAGGCCAAAGCAAGATTTCACATGGTCTAAGTGCCCTGAAACGCCATGGTGATTTAGGAACGTCATGTATAACAGCATACCATTTCTATCTCCAGCAGACGGCAGGAATACAGCCCTGGGCAAACACACAACAATGCCAAATACATCAGCAATGTCCTGCTAGAATAATAAAGAATAGAGATAAGTAAAGCACCAAGACACCAGTTTTCCTCTGTTTGAATACATATATTGCATATGTGTTTTTTTTTTTTTTTTTGGCATCATACAAACCAGACCATGCATTTTGCTTTTCTTTTACAAAAACAACAAAACACATTGATTTCTTGGAGACAAGAGAAACAGTTCTTACCCCACAGAGCTCATGTCAGCTGGGGCATTAAAAAACCCATTCAAATCACAGTGAGGTGATGAGACCCTGCAGGTAAATTCAGCAACACACTTTCCAGAGCAAGGGTCTCTCTTTTTGGTTCTACTTGCTAAGCCTTAGCCTGGCTTATACCTGCCAGTCTATCTCCTGAACATCACATCAGTCTTCACAAACAAGCAATAGCCAGGATGATCCCAGCCTGCTCTCGGCTTCCCCCTTTCAATCATCGTAAGATTTTCTGAATGCAGAAAGCAAGTTAGCTGCTACAGAAAACTTTATCTAAAGTATTCCCCATGCAAAAAATAACCCCCGAAACAGACTTTTAACCCGAGAGATACAGACTTCAACCCACTTGACGGATGGAGGGACTATTGCTTCATTACTAATTTAAAGACTCTTCTGCAGCTTCAGCACACCCAAATCTCTTGCCACTGCTTACCCTTGTGATTCAATTGTCTGCCTCTCTCTCTGGTATGCTAGCATTTTGTGGAAAGCTTTCTCTTGCAACTCTGACCCAAGAATGAGCAGTCATTCTGACAATCCAAGTCTTTTTCTAGCAGCAGGCTATCTTATATCTTTCCAGAACTAGTAGAACACCTCACCAATACTGCATATTACTGTTAAATCAGCAGCTACACTGATGATTTTACCTGTGAAACCACAGGTTAAATTTTATACATTTTTCTTAAGGCATTTATTTAGCAACAACCAACAAAAATTCAATGGAAAAAATAATATACCCTTCACATGGCTTCTCTTTATTCATGGTTCAGCCAGGGATCATTAGTTTCAAGAAAAATTCAGTGGAAACAAGGCAAAGCCTCTAGTAAATGTTTTCGATTTAAAACCCAACCCCCACGCCCTTTGACCAAAAGTCACATCTTAAAACATGGAATACATGAGTGTGTTTGAAAGTTCATGGTGCAAAATAGAGGGGGATGGCAAAACCTCCTCAGATTAGTCAAAAACAGAGCTATCCCATTCTATACATGAACAGTCACATCCCTTCCTCTGCTTCCATCCACCCTGCAACAAAATCAATATATAAAGAACATCAGCAGCAGCTTTATGATAGGCAATGATCCTTTTTGACATCAGTCTGTGATAAGATCGTTGATTCTCTATCTTTAAATTATGTCATAGCTGTGTAAAATATGCAGTGATATCCAAAACGTGAACTCTTCACATCCGCTGTCGATACCTCAGCAAGATCCAGACCGCTGCTGCAGCAAGCGCCAGGCCTGGCACAAGAATGGCTGCTAGAGGAAGCCCACCTGGTTCTCCATCGCCTCGATGACCCACAGGCCCATTTTGTGGCTGCAACTACAAGGAAAAAAAAGTATTTGTGTCAGAGCCCATCACAGGAGAGCCCCCAGTTTTGTGTCAGGACCAGGTGGTTCTGTAAGGATGTGCAAGATGGTTTCCCCAGGTACCTGTACACTCAGGAGGGTTAGAACGGCTTTGGATGGACTGAGTTTTATTGCAGGGTACCCAGTCACTACCAGGCACCCTCATGTTTCTCTGCCACTCTGTAAACTAGGACTGTAACAGCTGGAGCAGGGTACGTCTCATACAGCAGAAGCAATGACACACACATACCCAGTCATCCCTTGATGCACTTCCCACCACACCATTTCCTGGTGTCTTTATCAGGAAAAGGGCATCGCTAATTCTCTCTGTTTTCCTTACCTGCCCTGTACGCTGGTCCAGAAGATTTACTCCTTTTATTAAGGGAGCAGAAAAGGGGCCTCAACCCACCTCTCCCCACCAGCATGCTTCAGGCTGATCAGTATTTCCTTCACCAATTTCAGTGCTAGCCAGGGATGTTCAAATTACAACGGTGGATTAAGGATTCCTCTCTTTCTATATCCAAAATGCTGCCAGTATATTTAAACTATAGCAGCCCACATTTGTTCCTTTGTGGTGGGCTGCACACACGTCTCAACACTAACATAAGTGACAACCTCTGAAACAACAGGGGAGTGTTGTCTCCAGTAAGATTTTGGCCTCTGAAACAAAACTGGAGAACTTGAGATTCTGTCTTCACAGACAAACCTTTACCTCTAAGAAAGGAGATCTGTGAGAAAACACACCATACTCCAGCAAACAAAGACCCCGGGACTTCTCCAAACTCACCTCTTTACTGATACTGTTACAAACAATTAATGCACGGATGATTACAGCCGTGGTCAACTAGAGAAGGCCATAGTTCAAACAAAATCTTTATATGCATAATTCACACTAAGCACCTGGACATAGTATTTTTCTGCCTCATGAAATAGAAAGCTATCAATCATAGAAACCAGTCTAAACTGAGCCAGGAATAACCCTAAGAAAAACGTAAAACATACCCTGCGCTGAATTTTCAGAGACACGTCACAGCCTGCATTCCTGAACAGTTCCACAGCATCCTTGTGCCGCAAATCCTTCAAGTCTCTGCCATTGACCTAGCAAAAAGGAAAAGGAGAACCAGTTGCTGAAGGGCAAAAAGCAAATTTTTGATGACGCAGGCTAACATAGGAAGAATAGGAGATAAAAATCTTCCTCTTTCACAAAATTCTGCATTTGGGGCATGAGACTGTAATTAGCAAGATCCATACTCATCCATTTGTATTACAGATGTATTTTTCTCATGTTATCTCTCAACATGTAAACTCCAAGCCAAAACACAGAGGTACTGAAAAAAAACACCTAGAAGCAAAATCAGAATATAAGACGACAGTTTTGTCAACAGCAGCTTCTTATGCTGTTGCTTTACTGGAAACAAATCAAAGGGGTAATGAAAATAAAAGAGCAGCTACAGCAAAATTATTATTACGAGTCTCTTTCCCACATTGTTCCCTCTACTGGTCTACCTTTGAAACCCTTCTGTTTGAAAGAGTGTTGTGAACATACATTTAAAAGCATATTGATGTAACAAAACAAAACAAAAAAGACTTACATACATACTGGCATCCACTTAAAAGTGTTAGGATTTTTCTTAATTTGAAATAATATCTCATGGCAGAAGTTTTTATAACCTACTTGATTTCATTCACTAACTGATGATATTCATCCTAGTTTTTCTTTTTCATCCCTATTACCCCTAATTGTATCCCTTGAGATCACATCCAGTACCTCTCTTCTCTTGATATTTAGACTCCCCAAACACAAGTATGTAAATATTAAACTGTCAAGAAAAGATAGGATAATATTCTGTTTAACTTAGTATCATTTTCTGGATCCGTAATAGGCTCCAACTAGTGCAAGGCACTCTATAGAGGCTAAAAAGATTACATGTGGAACATAATGAGCAAGCATAAAATAAAATCAAGGAATATTAAAAGATCATGTATCACACTAGGAGAGGCTACTTCTTCACTCATCACTTTGTAAAGCATACTGTCTTGTATGATTGCCAACTGTCTGAAGAACCATGGGGACTGAACCTCAGTCACTTTAAAACATTTTTCTAAAAGGAGAAGCAGTCTGTATTACTCCTGATGAGCTGCAATGAATAGTTTTATGGCCTAGAAGTTTTATAGCCTAAAAGTCCCCTTGAGCACAAGGATCAGTAATCACTGACTACCAGTCAAAAAATGGAAACTTAGAGGTGGGAGACTGATTCCTTTTATTTACATGTGCGTAAATGACGATCCATTGTGGGCAAGAGAAGGTCTGATGGATTCTAAAACCTTACAGAGCAAGTCACTGAGGAAATACAAACGCAGCACCAAGGAGTGCTTCTGAGACAAGTCAAGAAGGCAGAAGAGATGGGCCCATGTGTAGAGGCACTCATCTCCCTGGTGCTCAAAGCTGTCCCCAGACCCCCAAGATAGCCGCTTCCATAGAGTTTCCTCAGCATCATGTAACTGCATTCATCACATCCTTCTTCCTCTCTGTGCACTGCGACGGCAAACCTGCATCTCATATCACATCACTGATCACAGCACTTCAAGAACACACGGGGAGACAGAAGAAAGGGCTTACCGCTAAAATTTTATCTCCTTCTTGTAATCGGCCATCAAGGTAAGCTGCCCCATCCTTTTTGATCCGGCTGACATAGATGCTGCTGTCATTGGAAACGTACTGCTGATCTGTCCCACCAACAATGTTGAAGCCCAGCCCTAAGGTAAGCCAAAGAGAAAGCTGATGAGAAAAAGCTCAAAGCTTCAGACATTATTGCTGTTGTTGGAGACTGTACCCTCCCACGTTGTCCTGTTTTCTCCACAGTACTGAAACTCACAGCACACGTATCTGCATCAGCCTTTCCCAGCGTCACTATCTAGAAAAGTTATTCTCGTGAAACTCATCTTGAAAGCAGAGGAGAGACCCTGAATGCCTGAGGGCCCAGATGCTTCACTCCGTATAGCATCCGTGAGCTGTTTTCAGGTGGGTGTTGGGGAATACTGAGGGACATGCCATTGTTTCTGAGATGCCGATTTAGCCCTCAGCAGGAATACGCCTCTTCAGCACAGCATGAAAGGAAAGCATTCTGCATTTCACAGGAGGCTATAGTAAATCATTACCTTTGACCAACAAGAAATCATGCCTGACAGGCGTTTCATGAGCTGGGAAACAGAGTTTGGAAAGGCAAGGAGCGTTAGACCCTGTCTACAGATGAGGAAACAGGCAAGAGGAGCTGTGCTACCAGCTCGAGGGCACCTAGAGCTCAGAAGGCTCCCCTTCCACATCTAAGGAGCTGGAACTGGCATCCTTCAACTCCAAGAATGAGATTAGCTTAGATGCAGCTACTTCAAATTGTATGTAATCACTTTGTTCTGTTTCGGGAATTCAAAACACAACAGGAAATAAAGACAAAGTTCTCTAATTTAAAGCAAACCAAAAAGGAATACACATACATTACACAGAACTGATGCCTACTTCACATTTTTGTTATGTTTCATATTGTTCTTTAAAGTAAGCCTCGATTACAGATCTCTAGCTGGAACCAGCTGCTGGATTAAAGTGCCGTTAAAGATTAAGACTTCTTGTTTCATCGAAATCCAAAAGAACAAATTGAATTCAAAATCTGGAAAACCACGTGTTACAAGAGCACATTCCCCATTGCACATGCAGCTAAGTTGCTCTGTAAATAATAATGCATGACAAGGGATGGGAAAGATTCCCTAATAAGAGGCTTGCAATGAAAAAAGAAAGAAAAGTCAAGGAAAAAGAAAAAAAAATACAATCAAAGTAAATGGAGAAAAAAAACCCACCTTTTTTTCCTGACATAAACCAGTCATCCAAAACCTATTGTCAAGAACAGCTGAAGGCAAATTCTCCCCACATTCAGCCAGGCTGGTTTATTTATTTTCTCTTTCTTGCTTGCTTTCTCTCAAAGTTGGGACTAGAAACTTTGAGAAGGAGAGTTGCAAATGAAAGTAAAACCACCTTGTGCCTGCTGGGAAGCAGCATTTTAAATCAGTCATAGGAGATCAAAGGATGTACAAGATGAGTCATGCTATTTTAAGTGTGCATCTACAGCTGGGAAGTAAAGAAATATTAACAGCAATCTTGTCACATCTTTTTTTTTTCTCCCCTTCCCGTCCCCTTCAGACAAACAAGGAAGAAAATGGAAGCTGCAGCAGATTGAAGAAACACTGACATTTCAGCTAGACTAATATCTATTCCAAGAAGGGACAGTTGTGCACAATAACACACCTTTTGGTGGGAATTAAAAAAAATAAAACCCACAAACCTAAAAATTATTCGCCGTGAAGCCAATAACCTGGGAACAGGGGGAATCGATACTGCAGAAAGTATAAGGTTTAATCAACATTTATTAAAAAGCCAGAAAGAAGGAATCAGAGTTTCAGAGTACATTGATTCTCTCTCACATATATAAAAGCCCCAAAATATATATATATATATGAAAAAAGTACAGATTTTGCAAGTTTTCACCCACGATTGGAAAAATAATGAAAAGTCACAGCTTTCATCAGCAGAGGCAACATAAGATAGGAGCAGATCTTCGTGACAAAAAGAGGCAGCAGTTCATGCCGGACCAAGATAAGTATTCACAGGGCTTTTCCACTGTGTCTTTCCTTTCCAGCACTTAAACTTCCACTCTGGCTAAAAATATCTTCCCTATCATTCCTTCAGCTCTCTGCTACTCTCCCGCTTCCAGTTCATGCAGCCATAGAAAGAGGCACAGCAGAATAGGGAGAAAAGGAGCAAGGGAAAGAAGAGAGCACATGGCACTAAATCCCTTGTCTACAAGGGACCAGAAGTGGAATGGCAGAGCTTTAAAAGCAGGCTCTGGGCTAAACTTCTGACTCTCCCTGAGGCTGCAGACCTCCCTATGCCTCATTTACCTCCCTGAAACAGAGTCCCTCAAAAAGACATTAAAAAAATCATGATTGGCAGGATTAGGAAAAGAGAGATTGAATAATATTGCAAATGGAACTGATTAAGTTATTTAGTTTTCCATAAAACCAGATTTTTCTGCCTAATTTCAGCCTAGTACTTGAGAAGGAAGTTTGAAAAAGAGACATACGCAAACTGTTTTGCCACTGTAAATACGTTCACCTCCTCAGCAAATTTTTGCCAGAGATGTTTAGCATCAGACCTATTTTAAAAAGTTGCAGTCAAAACTCCGATTAGAGAGATTACGGGATTACACTGTGCTTTACAGATAACAGTGTTTTGTTCCTTCCTTAATAATAATTCACAAGGTAAACGCATCAAGGTCGTAAGGGGCTGTAGGACCTTCAAATCAAGTGACATTGTTAGAAATCTAACTCTAAAAATACACAGCCCATCTTAATGACGGGATAAATGCTGCTCATGGTAATCAGATTTAAATTGCCATGGCCACATTCAAGACCTCTCAACTCTGCCCTTCAACATCCCCTTCCACCTCCCTCAAAATTTTAGGTTCCCAAATGTATGGAGACAGCTTTCCCATCGGAACCGGCTTCTTTTAGCAAATAATTTTCACTGACAAGCATGGCTTCATTAGCCTGAGCTTGTGGCTGCACAGGCAGGGCTATGCAGCTTTCAGACCAGTGGCCGCTCTGGTGAGCAGGAGAGGCAGAAGGCTGCCCACTGGTCTCACCCTTTGGGTTGAGATCACTGGCACGGGGGCCAGGACTGACCCCAGCCCTGCACGGAAACAACCTTCACCCTGGAGAAAGGAACATGACACATACGCCAACGATATGGGTGCTGCGGGTCCCTGGGAGGCCATGGAGCCAAGGCTGGCCAGCTGCTCCACCCAGCAGTTGCACGGACAGAAGAGCTGCCACGTTTTCTTTCATGCTCATTTTAATTAAAGAGAAGGGCTCACGCACCAAAGTACAGCTCTAGCTCCAAAACCTCCCCGGAGCCTGTGGTTCTCTGGAGCCAGGGTTTTGCTCCGGAGCCATATGTTTGGTTCTAACTTGCTGCGCTTCTGAAAGCGTGGTTTGAATAGAATCATAAATCCTGTAAAAATACGAGGGCGGACAAGCATCTGCAGGCTTCCATGAGAGCACACGCTACTGTGACAGGAAAAGCAAAGCCAAAAGAACGTCCCACAGACTGCCCTGTTCCCTCTGCCTTCCAGTCAGCGCTCCTCTCACTCACCACCCCGAAGCCCTCTCTAAAGCTACCCCGAAACAACTAACACGAAGCTGACAGTATAAGGTACGGTCACTTCGACTAATGTTTTATCGAAACGCCCCCTAATTTTGGGTATCCAACACGGCTGAGTACTGAGCACCTGCCATCTCATTCGAAAGCAACCGGAGCTGCACTGGAGATGGCAACTCCTGGGAAAAACCAAATTTGAGTTGCTTCATCCGAGACACCAGCCGCAGCCGGTGCTCCTGGCCGCTCTTCTCGCAGAAGACAAAGCCGGACCCAGCTAGCTCTCCCTCACGCAGGTCACCGGCTTTCCCCGCAGCGGTGTATCCGCCACGGGCGATTTCCACGGGCACGCCGTGGCAGGAGAGGCCGCTCGGGCCGGGAAC